AGATGTCCTGGATCCTCAGAGCACGACTCTGGGTCATGTCACGGCAGCTGACAGACAGAGGTGAGCTGCAGCCGTGCCGTACCCAGGCTGTTACGGTACCTGCATCTGGGTTTTGGAATGAACTCTGGGGCCAGTTATGCAGCCTGAGCCGCAGCTGCTGGGACAGGACAGCGTTCTGGTCTCCAGATGGGCTACGAGCTTCCCGGTGAAGATGCATCAACATCTATTCCACCTGGTCGCCATCAGTGCACCGCAGCACGCTTGGGCTGCCGGCTCAGCTTGGCAAGTGGTAGCCCTGTGAACAAACCGGGCAGCCCAGCAGGTCCTACCGAGACAGTCTGGCTCGCGCAAGGAGCTGCTCATGTCCGGAGGCAGGGCTGGGGGAAGAAGAGGCAGGAGACAGAGCGGGGCCGGGCTGCGCCAGTTCCCAACGTCTGTTCCCTGTGAGCCGTCCAAGGGCGGCCGGCGGGAGCATGAGAAAGGGCTCCTCGCTGGTATTTCCTGCTCGCTGTACGATCCGGCAGCGTTGCCAGCAATGGTGGGGCTGGGGCCTTGTCACACGAGATAGCGACGCGCTGCAACGTGAGACCGTGGAGTTTGTAGTCTGTGACGACCCCCTTCACCTCCGAAGTTAACCCCAGCTAAAGGCATCGCATGCAGGATGCCTTTACCCCAACACCCTCGGTGTTTACTCCCACCTCTTCACAAGACTTCTGCCTCCCTAATTCAAAGGCAGTTTTTCCACTTTTTCCCTTTAAAATAGAAGGCTGCTGAGACACAGACACCTTAGACCCTAATCAGTAACAGACCAAGCAGAGAGGGTTACGCTTCTGGATGCAAACAGCCACCCCCACAATAACAATCCCTGCATTAGTCAAGATCCCTGATGGTAATCTTAATTTTGTTGACTATCCAGTATTTAGTGGAGGACAGAGTACAAAAACCAAAGCCTCACACAGCTGGCAGTAATTCACAGGGGAAAGATGCTGCCAGTTGCTTATTTATTATAGCTGCAATAGAGTCCGTGAGGCTCAATCACAGGGAACACGGCATCAGGATCTATCTTCGATGTTTTTAACAGGGAGCAACAAGAAGAGATGCATGCACCAGAAGGAATCTTCTGCTTCTGCAGGCTTTCATGCCTTTAAAATCCTGAGACCTGACTGCAAAAGCAAAGCCCAGGAGCCCTGAAGCAAGCCCCCAGCCCCCCACCTCCATGGGTAGGCTGCCTCTGCCCTAGCCAGGCTCCTTCCCAGAGCACGTGGCCAAGAAGATCCATCCCTGCAGGTCTGTCCCGCTCTACTCTTGGCACATTCACCCAGAGACCCTCCAGGTGTTGGGATCAAACCCTTCCAGAGCTCCCTCAGCTGCTTAAGTTGTCCCACTGATCTTACTCCTTTAAGTCAACTTCTCAGCTATGTAAGAGACCCTTTCCTTTTACCCTTCTGGCACAGGTTTTTGGGTACAAATGTGGCCCTCATCCCTCTTCCCAGCACCGTGCTGCAGGTCTCAGCACTGCTCACCACCATGCCGGATGCCTTCAGCAGGTATGCTCTCACCAGAGCTGTAATACTCAGTTTAGAAGGTTTTACTGCACTTCCATGACATACAAATACCTTTGGGCTACAGAAGAGATTCCCATCAGGAATTTGCTATGCCTTTCCATGGCTATAAATTAGGTCTCCAGAGCAAGACATTTTTTAGGGAAATGAGGCCCATTACCCTGGTCCTGTTACTTAAAAGATGCAAAAGTTTACACGAGAGGATAAAAGCCAGCTATGACGTGAGTGACTATTTAGGCAAAAGGAATTAGCAATGCAGGATTTAGCCCAAAACTGTTCCCCAAAAGAGAGGTGGTGTGGAGGCAGCAGGACTGGTGTAAGGACGAGGACAAGGCTGGCAGAAGGGATGGGCAGCAGCAGTGAGCTGGGATGGATGCCACGAGGAGACCTTTTTTTGACAAATCAGGTGGTTATCACACATGAAACTCAAGAGCAGTTCGAAATCAAAACTTAGCGAGGTCCCACCTCTCGCTTTCAGGTCTAGGACAACACTAGGACATCTCCAAACCTGCCATGGAACACTCTGAATTTTTAGGTTTACAACACGAGAAAGCTTTATTTGGGGAATGCGGGAGTTATTCCAGCTCTCCCTACATGGGGATTATACCCCAAACATCTACTGACTGCCAATGTGCCGCTCTCTGCCCTTCTCCAAACCTGTCCTCGTGCAGCGCCAGCATCAGAAGATCAGCCTGAGTGCACTTCCAGAGCTACAAAGATCTCATCTATCACACTTTTAAATAATTGGCTGATCGTTACGAATTCATTTGGTATTCATTGTGATAATGTTAATCAAGATGAATTAATAGAGTCTTCATACTGTATGTGCTCTCTGGGGAATTCCACCACCATTGAGAAATTAATTAATGGACATATAATTTTAGTGGTGCTGCCCATGCAATCACTGTTAATGGTAGGCATGAAGCAGGTACCCGATCATGGGATGTCAGTGCAGGCTAGAGAGTTAAAGCACTACTGCTGATGTCCCTGCAGACACTGGCTGAGGTGTTGTAGGGGTCTGACAGGAAAAGTGGGTCTCCAGCTGCTGGTACAAAGCTCCAGAGGCAATGCCAGGGAACTGGGATGTTCCACATCTAGCTACACCTGCATTGCTCCCCGTAGAAGCAAGTGCTGCTGCTGAACACATACGAGACTTCTTGGCTTCTTTTTAGTCCCGAGTCTCCCGGGGCTGGAGATCAGAATTTCCTCCTTCCATTTCCTTCTCCTTCCACACATATCCCACGGGATCTAGCACACTCAGTGGCTCTGCCCATAAGCAGCCAGGGCAAAGCCAGCCCCTCGCACAAGAAACACCATGGTACCACTCATCTTCAGAGGCATTTCCCACGCCTGCATGCTACCACTTGTCTTAAACGGTATTTTCTGAATTCTCCACCTCTCCATTTAATACTAGAGGTTTTCTCTTTCCCACCAAGCTGGAAATGATGCAAAAAGGACAAGAAAGACAGGAGGTGCGGAAAGGGTAGAGGATGAGGAGCTGGGAAATGCTGCAACTGCTTTGTGGTGATGGCTCCAATGAGCAGCTTTTAGAAACCCTCTATCAAACATGTACTGCTTTGGGCGAGTGTGGGGAAGGGACCACGAGTGCCCCGAGCTCTGCCCAGCGGTGTTCCTTGGAGTTTCCCACTGTGCATCGTGGTTCTACCAAAAGCAACACATTATCAAGGGGTAACGGGTTTACGCTGAAAGCAGGTAGATTTAGATTGGATATCGGGAAGAAATTCTTCCTGCAGAGGGTGGGGAGGCACAGGGACAGGCTGCCCAGAGAAGCTGTGGATGCTCCATCCCTGGAAGTGTCCAAGGCCAGGCTGGATGAGGCTTGGAGCAACCTGGTCCAGTGGAAGGTGTCCCTGCCCATGGCAGGGGGTGGGACTGGGGGGGCTTTAAGGACCCTTCCAACCCAAACCATTCTGTGACTCCATGATTCTATGATCATCCCTTCCACTCCCTCCAACCATGAGCTCTCTCCGAGGTTTTTGCCTACAGCCACCCCTGGCAGAGCCACTTCCTCCTCTGCAACCCATCCTTAAGCCAGAAAGCTTCATTCCCAAGCACCGAAGGATTAAGTTCTGCAGGGCCGAGGAGGCCCCCCTGAGTCGCCTCCCAGCCCGCTGCAATCCCCCCACACCTCGAGCTGAGACAGCTCTGACATCTGAAGCCTCGGCATGGCGTGGGTCCTTAGGTAACCCTGTAAACTGAGCGTGGCAGGGTCTGCTCACACTCGGCGCAGCCCTGGTGCTGCCCCGTTTAATCAATGCTCCAGACAAGACTAAGTGCTCTTCAAAGAGACCCGGGCTGGAGCACTGCTCGCCGCAAGCAGGCGACTCGGCACAGCGGTGGGTTTATCGGCCGGTCAGGGAGGCAAGTGTGGCCCTGAAGATGTAAGGGGAGAAGGCAGCGGAGAACTGAGCAGCACCACAGGGTCATTTTCACATCATCTTTGGTAAAGGCCTGTTCTGCCAGCAGTTTAAAACAGGCGCAGTCAGCATTTAAAAAGAGCATTTAAATGAGGCACTGCCAGGGAGTTTTACATCCTAAATTTAAATTCCAGTAAGGGGAGGGATATCTTTTTACAAGACTGAATTTCTTTTTTCCTCCCAATGAGAAAAAAACCCATTATTGCTACTGCTAGGGAATGAGTGAGAGCAGCCGGTGCTCAGCACGGATGCCTGAGCGGGCTCTGATGAGAAGGACGAGAATTCATGGAGCTTCCCTGCCCGCCCTGCGCGAGGCGTGCACTACAGCGCGCAGCTGGGACACGCGCAGGAGCCGCTCACCTCCCTCCCCGGCAGCACGGTGGTTAGTAACCGGCGGGTTAAAAGTGATCTTTATCTTGCCAGCGTCCCCTGACCGGCACCCATTCCAGGATGAGACATCCTGTGTTGCACGGAAAAAGAAGGGCCATGTCGGGTGGCAGCATTTGTCCCCTAAAATGCGCTCAGCCCCGACAGCTTTCACACCTCTGACAGGGCTCTGCAGGGAAAGGGAAGGGCTCGGTGTATTTGCCATCGCTGCTCCCAACACGTGGCAGCCGGCGCAAAACCAGGAGTGCAAGTTCCAGGGCTTTCACTGCCCCCCGCTCACCGCTGCCATGCTCGGTGCCTCTGCCTCATTCACTAACGTGCAACCATCCACCATCCGAGTACCGCTCCAGGACCTACCGCTGCTTTGGAGCCCAGGAGCGGCCTTGGCTACAGCACAAAAACAAATCATGGAATTTTTTAGGTTGGAGAAGACCTACAAGATCATAAAGTCGGAACATAACCACAGATTAGAGCCATGCCCCGTCAGTGCCACGCCACAGGCAGCCCCGGCGAGGCTCATGCTGGCGTTGGCGCCCCTGGTGCTGGAGCCTCCATACAAAGGACAGGTACCTGCAGCACCCATGGGTGCTCGGCCAGGCTCTCTCTGCCTTACCTTCTCGCTTCATCCCCATCGCAAGACACTTCTGGTAGCGGCAGTACTGGCAGCGGTTGCGCTGGCGCTTGTCGATCAAGCAGTCCTTGTTGTCGCGGCAGGTATAGGTGAGGTCCTTCCGCACCGTGCGCTTGAAGAAGCCTTTGCAGCCCTCGCAGCTGTAAACCCCGTAATGTTTACCTGTGGGAGGATGCGACTCGGGTTAAAAGGACCCCCCAGGCATCCCAGGTCCCCAGTTTGCCCTCCCTCCCCGCAGACAACCAGCTCCTCCCAGGGCTTCCCTCAGCCATGTCTGGGGGAAGCAGAGGTTGCTCAGAGCTGCGAGCATGAGCTAAAGAGCAGTGGCTTCAACTTCACTTCCATAAAATCAGGATGCCCTCCCTGGGCTATGACCTGCCTTATATTCAGGAAAAACCTTCCCCATTTCTGAGCTGTACATCAGGGGTGAGGCAGTGCAGCAGTGAAACACAGGGTGCCCCTCTGTACCCCCTGCAACCCTCCCAGACTCCCCACATGCCCCAGCCTGCTCTGCACCATGCACCCACCTTCCTCTTCCAGCCCCAGAGCCCGACAGGCACGGGAGGTGTCCCTAAGGACTTCACAAACTAAGCGACCTGACCACTTATGTAGCAGAAAGTTTTTAAACCAGCATGAGAATAAAGGGAATTAGCACATCTTTATCTCCCACGAGTGGAAAGACTCTGTGTGAAGCATCTTTTTATCTGGCGCTGTGAGACAGGACCGCTGCAGATCAAAGGATGGGTAAGGAGGGGGACATATGGCTGCGCTGCTCAGGGCTGAGGGATAACACCACTGCTAAGCTGAGACCTGGGGTCTCCTGGCTTGGGTCAGAGCCTGCCCCAGGCCAGCCTGCCCCCTCATCCCTCCCTCTGAGGGCACGGATGGCTCCTCTCCCAGCAGAGAGTGCCCACACGTGCTCACTGTGACGTGGGACCCAGGGAGCCACACAGACCCTCGCCAACCTCCCCCGGGGTGCCCACACACAAGCGCAGCCGCTGCGAGCCCCTCCCGGGGCAGGCACCAGACTTACCTGAAGATCTGTCCCCGCAGATGGCACATATGTGCTTGGTGAAGGAGGCCATCGTTCCTGAGGGATGTGCTGGCACTTTGAGGACTCCATTGAGCCCCAGGGGTGGCTTAATGTCTTCTGAGCTGCTGACGGGGTTCATGGGTGAGTTGAGCTGTTGAGACAGAAGCACTGAGCTCAGCAGGGAGCTGGGGTGTGTGGGGCTGAGCCAGCTCCGCAGCAGGGCTTGCCCGTGCGCTCGGGTACGAGGCAGGGGACAAGCTTCCAGTGGGGACAAATATTGCTTAAAACATCCACCCACAGAGCTGAACCAAGAAGAGGATTTGGGCACGTGAATCCAGGGAGCACACAAGTGCTGCCCTGGCATAAGAGCCGGTGCAGCAGCAGGATCCCACTGGGTCTCGCTGCCAGCACTGGGGTGGAAGGAGCAGGGATATGGCCACTGCTCCGTGCACGACATGGAGCCACGCAGGGCTGACACCAAGCACCCCAGGAGGGATGTTCTTGTATGCTTTAAGGCGAAAACAAGCTCCTCCTGCGTCAACTGACCCCCACCCATGGCACAGCCATGGCACAGCCCCCATGCCCAGGGGCTTGCCAAGCCACCCCGGCTTCACACCGCCTCGGGATGCAGAGCAGGGAAGATATCTGCAGCAATGGTTCATGGGAGAGCTGCTGGCTGGGAGCAAGTGCGTGCAAGGATGATGAAGGCCAGGACACTCACGCTTCAGCTCTGCTATTTATACAAGTTCTTTCAGCATTATTTCTCCAAAGAAAAGCTTCACAGCAAATGTACAGATCCCAGATGCAATGGGGCCTGGCTTTCAAGAGCTGGCTTGGGTGGGACACTTCTCTGCAATGTCCATCCTGGTGGCAGTTTCTCCATGCACCTCTCCTTCCCATCCCAGTGAGCTCAGTCCCCAAGAGCCAGTGAAGAAAGCGGAGAATTGGGTGGAAGCTGGGTGCTGGCATGGCCCTGTGGCACTGGTATTGAGTGAAGGATTCCTGAGCTGGTTCCCACATCACCCTGTGCAGCAGGCAGGGCCGTTATCCCCCCATGGACAGAGAGAAACTGAGGCAGAGAGATGTAGGGCCTATCTCGGTAAGGGAGACAAGCTGACAGCTCCCTGCCTGCCCCAGGGCAGATCCAAGGAGCTCTGGGGGTGGGCAGGGGAGCCAGGCTTGGTCAGCGCCGGACGCAGTGCCGGCCAGCAGCACCGCGACTGTCCTCCTGGGGACCAGCCTGCCAGGGACTGTCACAGAGCCTCTGTCCCTGCCAATTTCTAAATCCAGGTTGGATACGCTGGATTTGTGCTTGGGTTTGTTGTGTTTCTCTTCCCTAACAGAGATACTCAGCAATTGCCACTTGTCACAAATTAATTCAGGGAAGTCCCAGAGCTTGTGATCTGTCAATTAGAGGAGTGCAGCCATTCCAATGGCTTTAAAGTCTCCAGGCTGGTGGGGAATATTTGGCAGGCAGATGACTAATAACCGCAGAACAGAGCAAGGTAAACCCACCCTGGAGAAATGTGATGGATCTCGCCTCTCTCTCCTGCCCTGCCAGTGCCAGTTGATGAACCAAAGGCAGCCGGGATCCAGCACTGCCGAGGGACACGCTCCTGGGCTTTGGCTGCTGTTTGGTTACGCAGCGATGGGGCGGAGAGAGGAGGGACGAGCGGGTCCCCAGACAGGAGCATCCCTCTTTGGGATCTGTGGGTCCCAAGGTGCAGAGCCTCGCTCTGTGCTACCGGGCGAGCAGGGGCTGCCAGCACAGCAGCGGCACATCCCTCCACGGCTTTGAGGTCACTGACTCCAGCAATTCATCCCAGTGCACTTTTTGGGAACAGAGGCATTTCCCAGGT